CGACAAAACCCAAATTTGTTGGGTTCCGTCGAACCTAGCTATTAGGTTCGTCGAAACCTAACCTCATTGGGTTTGCACAACCAGCAAGGTTGGGTTTTGATGAACCCAGTTGCTGGGTTCACGTGACCAGCAAGGCTAGGTGTTGGGTTTTGACGTTGGCCTGGGTTCGCGCAACCAGCAAAGCCGACGCTAGGTTCATGTTTTTTTATTCTTCTTTCGATTTCTATTCCCAGTTCTTGATAAATTTGGGAGTTGATTTACAATTTGATTGCATTTTTGTTGGAATTTAATTAGAGTTTAATTGCTTTTTTGTTGGAATTTGATTAGAGTTTGATTGATATTGCTTATTGAAGGGTTAATTTGATTTGATGAGATCTACTGGGCTTGATAAACTCAGTAACTTTAATGAAATCAGTAGCTGGATTCAATGACAAAGAACTCAAATTTTGCTCTGGAGCATTTTAGGGTTCATAGACATATCATTTTTTTAATTGGTTCTTTGCAGGTAATCTGAGACCCATTTGAAGGGTTTTAGCGCGTTTGATTTGTGAGAATATGACATGGCATAATGTTTTGTCCATATCAGCATCTTTTTAAGTTGTTTTCTCCATGTCATCAACATGTCATAAAAAAATATAAAAAATGCCACATGAACGGACTTAACGACCCAAATTAATGGAAGGACCAACGTTGTGCATTTCTTAGAGTTGAGGGATCAAAAAAGTGCAAAAAATTGTTGAGGGACCAAAAAAGTGCAACTCTATAAAGTTGAGAGACCAAATTTAGCATTTAACCAAAATTCAAATCAAATGACATGCAGGTGGGGTGAGATAAGGGATGAGAGAGAGTTACCTTCCATTGTGCACTAAGTGGGTTGCCTTAAAAAAAAAAAAAACCCTCATTTGTTCTCTTTGATCTATTTTCTTCAAATTAAATATACTATATAAAGGTAGCAATTTTCTATTTCCTCTCATTTGGACCATATTTCATGTACCCTTAAAAATACAATTTTTTTTTATATAAATTATTGGAAATTATGTTCAACCCACACTTTAACAAATTTCAATATGTTCACCTAATTTATCGTTCATTTTAATGACAAAACCCAATATTCATTATGCAATTTAAGTTTAACTTAACTACTCAACACATTTGCCATTTATATTGTAAAGAAAGAATCATATAGTAAATTTTTATAAATTATTGTAAATTGAGATGAGGGAAGACTTTTTTTTTTTTCTCCTTCAAAAAATACCACGGGGAAGGGGCGTGCTCTATGATTGTGTGGGGCCTTACTACTATTACTAATATCTCTATACTAACAATTAAAATGTTCATAGTTACTGAGAATTTGGAACAAAATTATCTATGTTGTGAATACTGAAAATGTTATTATTTTTTTTATCAGTTGATTAAGAGTTAACACTGATGCCTTTTTTAGTTTGAGGGAGAGGAGAGGATGAGAAGCTTCTAGATAATAAAAATTTTGAGGGGAAATGAGGGGAAGTGGTCCATCATCATCATCATCATCATCATTATTATTATTATTATTATTTTGCATTTTAGTTGAACCAAACGAAGGGAGAGGACTTTGTTTCCCTCAAATCAAACACGAGGTAAATGCATGGATGGTTCTCCTATTTCAAAACTCCTTGGATTGCTTTGTTTTTGTTCATTTTCTAGGAAATTTAGTAACAAAAGAATGGCAAGCTTTATGAGAATTATTATTTCAAGATTTTAAATGACTTTCTTTTATTTTTCTATTCAATCTAATTTATTTAATAGGCAACTTGATATACTTTGCTGGTATAAACCTCCTCTATATTTTATTAAAACATTAATATTAAGGGGTTGTCTTTCTTAAACCTATTGGCAGAAGAGAGATTTTCAGAGATTATAATGACAATTAGATTATGAGGTTTGTCAGGAATATAAGCATTACTAATATAGTAAGCGTTAAACTTTAATATATAAAATATAACCTCCAACTTTATTGTTGTTAAGGGGTTTTTTAAAATTAACATTGAGTTTGACTCTTTTTATGCTATTCAATTATTGTTTGTATTAACGTTTTAAATTGCAAAGAACTCACAAAGAGTTTTATTTTAACTCAACACCGCAACATATCAATAGGGATAGCCATATGTGTACTAAAAAACTTCTCAAGAAGGGAATATCACTTTGCTTAACTTTTGTTGTTTTTGATAAATGTCTATCTCTTGTGATTACATTTTATTTTGCTTATGTACTAGGGGTTCACCTTCTCAAATCACTCTAATGAACTCTCTTTTATTGTACGAATATAATTTTGTCATTTTTTCTCAAAAAGAAGAAGAAGAAAAAAAAAGTAATAACTTCTTTTTCTTCAAGACATTAGTATTCCTCATTTATTAAAATAATATAATTTTAAAGTAATTTTTTGTCTTATTTTTTTGCAAATTCAATTAATAAATATTAATCTCTTATTTCTTAATATATTCCATTTTATCTTAGGAAAAGAATTTGAACTTTCAGGAGGTAAAAAAAAAAAAAAGGCTTCTAAAATTACAAGTCAATAACTATTTTGCAAGGAAATTTCTTGAATAATAATTGATGGCAAACCGGGTGAATGCAAAGAAATTTCTTTGCTTGAAGTCGTTAAAGGAATAAGGCATAAGAGATGTCCTATCAATTTTGTTGAAATTTCAAGGATGTCAATTTCGTTGAATAAAAATGATTTGAATGGGTAAATCTCACGTGAACAACATAAATAATAACTTTGTGAGTTAAATATAAATATAACAATTTTATTTATTGTTAATTGATTTTAAATTATAAATAAAGGTTTTATGTTGAAGTTTGTATATGAAATACTGTATCAAAGTTCAGTTCCCATTCTTGAAAAGTCCATTGTTGACTTAATGTTCACAATAACGACTTATACGTCTATAGATAAAGAACATTAATTTAGAATAAAAATTAAATATTTATATTTTTATGATAATAAATAGTTAACTATCAATGTACTTAAAAAATATTTTTTAAAAATAGGCAACTAACATCCTTAAATGGCTTGCCCCACGTATTAAAATGGGCAGCTGATATATCCTTTAATGGCTTGCCCCTCATATGAAGAAAAAGTCAAGTATGGTCCTTTCTTCCATCATTCAAGAAATTTTAACGAAATTGATACGAATTTTATGCAAAAGGTAGATATGTATATAACTTATTTCGATAAATTTTTTTTTTATAAATTTTATATATTATTAAATTAATATATACATATAATATTATTTTTTTAATATTCTTTTTATTTTCACATCATGTCATTATTGTGTTTTGGTCATAAAAATCAAATAAAAATAATAATTAATAAATTTATTAAAAAATATCAATAAAAAATATAATCAAAATAAACGTAAAAAATTTACTTATTTAAAAGTGATTTACATCTTTACAAAGAATAAATCAACTAGTACAGTAGAGATATACATAGCATATCGCCTTAAAACACTATAACTTTATAATAGTACTAATAATAGTACTATAACTTTATAATAATATTCTATAAATTTACACTACACATGGAGTTATCTCATTCAAAATACTATTCTTTGCTAAAAAATATTTAAAAGATAAAGTAATGTAAAAATAAGTAGAAGAATGTGGAGGAACTTTTCCTAGTTAAGCAAAATGACATTTCTTATTTATAAAACTTATGATAATATAACTCTCATTTATAAGTTGATAATAAGAATAAATTAGATAATTATTATGAAATGATATGTTCTTAGATAGGATAGTTAACTTACAATAATTAGTTTGACTAAATTTTTGATAGGATAATAAATTTAATTTATAAAATATATTATTTTATTTTTTATTAATACATTTAAATTCCAATATATAATATTATGAGTGTTGATAAAGTAAAATAAGTAAATCATTAAGAAACGTATAAAATTATATAAAAAAAAAAAGAGAGAAAAGAATAGACTTCAAAGTTCAAACAATATCAAGCAAACCCATGAATCCTAATTATTAGGAGACAATTTTTGTATACAACTATTATTTGAGGACAAATTATAAATTAAAAAA